AGCATGTCTGGGACATGCTTGGACAGAGGTTACGTCAACGTCAACAACGTCCTGCCAATGTCCAAGAACTTGCTGCTGCGTTGCAACAGGAATGGGACAATCTAGACCAAAATGACCTTAGACGTCTCATTAGGAGTATGCCACGTCGGATCAATGCTTGTTTGGCAAACAGAGGAGGATTTACCCGTTACTGACTTGGTTGTGATGCTGTGGTAACTTTGCTGTTTGACCCCGGGTATCATTTTACCCTTATAATGGTCAGTCTGTGCCTTACTTAGTCTAACGATCATTTGGAATAAATCGATGAATGTGAACTTCATTTCATTTTGTCATTTGTTTCTTCGTCAGTTTCATTAGGTGACTTTAATAACACTTAAAAATCAAATATCCCCTACTTTTTTTGAATAGTATAATTCAGGAAGAGTGGTTTTACATATAGGCTAAGCCAGATCCCCAAGCCAGTTTCCCAATTGCATTCAGATTTTCTCAATAAATAAAAATAGTAATATGAAAAGTAACATAATAAATGTTATCTTAAAATTCGAGGTAATAAATAATATAGAAAGAAAACACACAAGATTTTATAAATGCACTCAAGGTTTGTGTTAAGACACTAAAAAGAACACAAACTTGTGTTGAATACTTTTAACACAAGTCCTTGTGTTGAGATCCAACACAAGAGTTATTTCAGTGTATCCATGTTTGCTTTCCTATCGGTTCTTGCATAAGATTTACTATTTAGCGTATCTTTGCTTTAATGTGTTAGTTTAATTTGATCGGTAGACGTGTTTGTCGATGTCAACGTCAACCGACAAAACTGCAAGAATTGGCCGTGGCACTGCAAGAGGAGTGGGTCAGATTGCCCCAAATCGTGATTGGACGGTAGATTAGGAGCATGCCACGACGAATTGCTGAATGTCTGAGAAATGGTGGAGCAATTACTCATTATTAAGACAAAAAACAAAAACGTCCATTTTCACTTTTGACAGTGTATCTCTTTTCGAGTGAAATGGGGCCGTCAGATAAGCCACCCATATGAACTGTTTATGTACATGTGTAGACAATTGGCTCTAATAAAAACAGCAGTTTTGTATTGTTTCTGAATATCCCCTACTTTTTTGAAGAGTATAGAAAGAGCAACTGGGGGGCGTTTTTCTTTTTATTTACATAATTGACAGTTTGAGGCTATTATCAAACTTAAAACATAGCACCATAGAGATACAAAGAATGGATAGTTTTCTAAAAGAACAAGCCACAAAATAATGGATATATTCTTAAAACAATATGCACATGCTCATGACTACATGTGACAAAACACTCCAGTCATACAAATACTCGGGGGTTTGGGTTGCACGTGCGTGCTGTATCATAAAGTCTGTCATTGAGTCAACTGGCGTGGTTTCGATTCCCCGGTTGTACGTGACAAGGACTAGGGTCGCCTGTCCAACCTCGTGGGTTTTCTCCGGGTCCTCCGGTGTCCTCCCACTGCTAAAGACCCCTACGCGCAAGCGAATTATTGAAATAAAATTAAACCATATGTTAATCCCGAAATGACCTAGTTTGTGTCGAGTGAACGTTAAACCCCATTTCTCTCTCTCTCATACAAATACTCCAATCATACACAGACAGTCCAAAATATTCGACATGGAGACATGTTTATAACACAGTCGAAAACAAATATTAATAATGAGAATATATTTGATAAGCATTTGGATACTGATTACATTTGGTAATGGGGATCACGTGGCTAAGTGGGTAAGATGCTAGCTCGCTAGCCTGGAGGTGGGGGTGTTCGATCCCTGCATTGGCCGAGAAAGTTCATCCAGATTTTCCGGCGTGGTTCTCCCTTGTCAGTGATGCAGAACGGAGGGGCTGACAAGGAAAGCTGCCTAGTCGTTCGGATGGGACGAAAAACCGAGATCCCGCGTACACATTGGCGTGCACGTAAAAGATCCCTTGGCAGTTGGAATTCGATATAAGAGTAGGCCGTAGTGCCGCTGTCCGTGCAAAATTTCCCTCATAGCACACAGTATGGCGTATGCCCGTCTTCATTAGCCCAGGTTAGGAGCAGAACAGTAGGACGTTAAACTCCATTTCATTTCATTTCATTTCATTTCATTTCACATTTGGTAATGTACTCGATATGGAAGATAATAACCGTAAAAATTGTGATGTTCTTGATATGGGGAATAATAGCCGTCAAAGTTGTGATGGAAAGGCTGTTCACGAAAATGATTTAGATATTGATAATATTCTTAGTACTGTGGTTAATATGGAGGGTACTAGCCGTCCAAATTTTGATTTGAAATTTAATATATAATCTGATATAAGTGACGGGACACAGGATCAAAGGCACAAACCAATTCACGAAATTCGAACTCAACTGTCATTATGGTGTAACGGTGATATACTTAAACGGTTTTAAGCATAGTTAAATCATATAAAATTAAAGATTCTGAAACATAAATAATATCAATATATACTTATTCAAATAAGTAATAAGTAAAAATCGACTCTAATCATGAAATAGAGTTAATTCACCTTGATGATTACCCTACTTGACATTAAAATTGACTCCCTCTCCCAAAAACTACTAAATTATTTCAGGCACATACAAAATATGATCAAGGCAGTGTAAGGCGAGTAAAATTGAATGTTTCCCCTACAAATAAATAGCATTGCCTATAACATACGACACCGTGCCTTTGTATGCAACGATATCAAAGTAAGTATACTGAGACGAGAGTAAAAGCTGTTAATACAAATTTAGGAATGTTAAATATGTGGCGAAATGCAAATTTGTCACATTACTGCTGAGCAGTGGCAGACTGGTCAGGTTGTCAGCTTGCCCAGTAACAAATGGGACCCTGAGGAAGTGGACCCCCTTAGACATTAGACAATATATTCAAAATATAAATTATCAAAAAATATAAAGAAAACAAAACCGGGAAACTTCTAATTACATCCTTTTAAGTTTCCACTTACATATTTTTTGAAAATTTAATTTATTCATTTTAAAAATTAAATGATAGAATTGTATTGGTGGGTGGGCCCCCTTTGTCTCCTGGCAGCCAATATTTTCAGACCCAGCCCGCCACTGCTGCTGAGAGATTGCTTGTTATTTTGAAAGACAGTAACTGATCTTTAGTAATTGCCTGAGTGACCTCGATAAAACTCGAAATCAACTTACTTGATATCGGTTTCCGACATAAATTTGAACACCAATTGCATCTGCACAAATTGAATTGAATTACCACCGCAACTATGAATATATCTTATAAACGAGTCTATAACCAAAGTTTATATATTCCAATGCACTCTGCATATTTTTAATTAATCTACTGCGATCTAATTAATAAACGTAGCCCCATTTTGTATTCACTGTAATCTATTTTGCCTATGCAAGTTCGCCAATAAAATACCGTGCACGGGACCACAACTGACTAGAGAAGGCGGACATGTATTGTACACTGCCAACGTGTATACGGGTCCTCTGTTTTCGCCCCACCCATACGAACAACTAGACGCTGTTCCTTGCACCAATGACAAAGAGTAACAACGCCTAAAAAAAACCCGACAAAATTTCTTGACCAACACCTGTCACGTCCTGGTTAGCAAGCCAACACCTTACTCACCGAGTCAACGCGGCTTCCGAGATCAATTACTACCAATAATATAAGCATTTGATAACGTTATTCTCACTTCCAATTTATTTTGCAGATGGTTTGTCATTAGCGTTTGTGACTAGTCTGTTCAGACCAGTTTCCCGGTTTGTCTCGTGTTCTCGCGAGTCAGACTCGTGTCAAACATTATTTGTTACGTACGTATCTGTTCCAAGGAAATAACAGTTTATTAAAGTTACGAATACAGGATTTATCATTGCTTTCAAGGGAATCAAATGAAAACCAATCGTGCTAGATCAAGGTATTCATATGAAAATACATGTTAGAATGTTGAAACAATTCTAAGAAATACAATTACTGTCTGTGGCCCGTGTTTTTCCAGGTCAATTACTAAATTTTATTGAAACAATGGTCTTACTAATAAAATAAAACCAAGTACGTGGTATTTTGACAAACTCTAATGATCAATGTTATATCAAAAATATTGTATTGACTCAAGTAGAACATATGTCACCAGGGCTCTAAGAGAAAATCATTTTTCTAAAACGATAAAAACATCATGGTTGCATAAACCTTCGCAATGACAAGAATTCTTTACATTCATCGGGCAATTTAATGCAGCAAACTCTCAACATCGACTAATATCCTTTGTTTTTTATTTTTTAGGGCAAATCCTCAGTGGATATAACGAGATAATTCTGCGCAATTGACCCTAGGAAGTTTTATCCCAGACCAGTTGTAGATATAGAAGGTAAGATTTCATGCATCATTGGTATCTCAGCTGAAAAACGCTCTAGTAGTGTCTTGATAACTATATTCATAAGCTAATCGTAGCCTGATAGCGGAGTTTATCAGCCCACTCATTACATATGAGCAATAGACTAAAATTTAAATCAGAATTCATCAGGTTTTGCTTTTAAGTCAATAATAAAATATAACAAAGCCATAAACTATTCTAGGGAGTTGTGGGGGTGTCAGAAAATAACGGATAATTTGTGTTCTCTTATCGTTTCTCTTTAAACTATAACTCATTATTTTTAATTATTTACTATAGCTTGCAAAATCGTCTTAGGAATCATAACAATGTAAGTATATATTTACAACATAAACACATGTTTATGGCTTTAAATTTTACAAAAAGTTAGAAATAAATATAGATGAATTTGCAAGGAAAGGTGACATCGTGTTTTTTTGTGGTTTTTTTTTGTCATTTTTGAATATGAATTTTCATTTCGTTTTTCTATTGTAGGATAAGACTTGCGTCCAAATCGGCGAGTTTTGTAATAGTAACCGCAGTGGTAGCTGTATGGATTATCTGTGGTTTTAAGAAGGGTAGTATCACACAATGTAAATGGCATTATTTAAATTCAATTAATTTGTTTTATATATAGTCACGATTTTCAGACGATTTGAAGACTGATTTGTATTTGTCGCAACCACCCTGTTCGATGACTCGTAATCTCCACTACAAAAATCTATTGAATAACTAAATGAAAAAAGACCGAACTAACTGATACGTGAAACGTCGAGTAAAAAGAAAACAGAACAAAAACCCATACACTGCTTGGAATTTACAAACACCGATCGAAGTCTTTGTGACAAAGGACGATAGTGTCACAAGGCCTCCAAAAGACTATTCTGGTCCTTTGGCCCCGTGGACATTAGTATGGCTTCCATATCTCGAATTTCACGTTACTGTTATCTATATGATTTTATATACCAGTAACACAGCAAACCACATACATGGTTTAAAAACATTTATTATAAGTCTGAATCTACAAGATAGTCTCCAGGAACCCAGGCTGATGTAGTTCTACAATGTGTGCTGATTTGTGGTTTGGGCAGATGTTTGACAGGCTATCCCTACCCAAATATTGATTCTGGTGGAAAGGGACGAATGATGGGTGCGATATTTGTATGACAATATATTCCGATGTTTATTTGTAGAATACCTAGCTAATTAACCCAAATCTAGCTGTACAAATATACCGCAACTCATTGTAAATAGTACGTGCAATTCACTCCTTTCAGTCAAGTTAGTTTCGACAAATAAGTCAACGTGTTAGTGGTCTATTGCTGTTGGGGCGGTAGAGGCATGCCTTGGACAAATTTTAATATTTTAGCAATATTTATGGGTTATCTCAGAAGACTTTGCGTGTGTGTGTGTGTGGGGGGGGGGGTCAACTACAACCCATAGAATCGTTGCAAGATAATGGGTTGAGTTTGGTATTTATGTACAGACAGGCCCTAAAACACTCAATTTAGCCGCTGTTATAGGAGTCCAAAATGCTTTACCAAATATATGACCAAGCAAGATGAAGACTACACATCCTCCCTATTCCCATATTCTAATTTTACGAGCTATTTAATCATGTCAACAACACATATTCACGTTTATATTTGATAAATTGTTTTCACCCATTTTACTCAAATTTTACAGATGTTTTCAGCAATGGACGCAAGAATTTCCAAGAGCCGATACACCACTTTAGTTCAGAGAGTAGACTGAGTTTGGATAAACCCCTCGAATCCACAGTCACTAAGAATCTAACTAGCGGAAGTGCGTTTCGAGATAAACATAGCTGGACCACAAAAGGCAAAATGTTTGAATCCGACTCGGAATCTGCTTATCAGACAGAATCCATTTACAGGGATAGACTGATACTGGTGAACAGAACGTGTCGTAACAGTGCGAAAGTCTCAACCCATTATACCTTTTTTAGTTCAAGTAAGCACGGTCTCTCGTATTGCCAAAGCCCAAAGGTAGGCTGTACTCACTGGATTAACATTTTTCGCTTTCTCGCAAACGCAACTGGGGATGTGTTGTATAAGAGTCCATTTGACATTCCTAGAATGGTAACGCATTATGGTAGTAAAAGAAGAATGGAATACAATATAACATTAGATAAAACAATTAATAGCAACTTTAAATTTATGTTCGTCAGAGAGCCCTACGCGCGCTTGTGGTCAGCCTTTCTGGATAAATTTTTTTTGCCAGATTTTTGGAGAAGTCAAGGTATTATCATTCAAACATATTTGAAAAAGCGTAGGGACAGTTGTGCTAAGGGTATAAGCTTTGAAGAATTCTTAGAATATATCGTGTCCAAACCCCCATCCCAACTAAATGCGCACTGGGCTCCTTTTAGATACATCTGTGATCCCTGTGACTTCCATCCAGATTTTATTGGAAATATGGAAACCTTTATACAGGATAATAAGTATATTCTGGAAAAGTTTGGACTTGCTTGGATAGCAGATGATATTGTTTCACGCGATCATGCCATGCAGGAAATCAGGATGTTGAGTGAATACAATTTCAATTTACTGAAAGTCTATAAAACAGAATGTTTAAACGCCACCTCATTGTCAAAACTTCTATGGAAAACATTCCAAATAAATGGTTACATTGGTTTTAATTCTATATTAGAGGAAAGTAAAAACTCAAACTGGAACTGTGAGACATTCACCAACAAAGTCCTACAACAACACAAAGCGGACAAATTAAGTTCCCAAAAGGCCAAAGAGCAAAAACTCGTTTATATGACAGCCGCTTATAGACGTGTTCCTAATTCTGTTTTGATCAAGTTACGAAAACTATATAAAGACGATTTTGAAATGTTTGGCTACGACCCCGAGTTTATCCCGTTGAACAGTCCATCTCTATTATAGACTATTCCTGAATTAAGAATAAATTGCATAACTATTATTATGTATATAAAAAGAGAAAAGTTTGTTTGTTTGTGGGATGGCTAGGAAACCAAACGGTTGACGTTATAAATTTTAAAATAAATTGCACAACTATTATTATGTATATAAAAAGAGAAAAGTTTGTTTGTTTGTGGGATGGCTAGGAAACCAAACGGTTGACGTTATAAATTTTAAAATAAGCCATAACAATAGGATTTAAAGGTGCTTTTTATTTTGTATTTGAAGCAGTAGTTAAGGATGAAACTGACAATTAATGTTATGGGGATTAATAATAACATATCACACCTTTCTGCAACCGCGGTGTAAAAGAACCATTGTCTGTATGGTCATGTTCAGTATCCCGGTTGGTGCAGAAAAGTGTGACGTTAAAACCCATTTCATCTATTTCCATAACTTTCTAGACTGGCTCATTACCTTAACCGAAAACTCTTTATTTTTCTGACAAAGTCTTTACTCAAAGTTAAGGTTAGTAAATATAGTGAGATGAAATGTACTATTTCTTTAAATAGATTATTGTAAATCTCGTTTAAATATAATCTATATTCTGAATGATGCGACGATATCCTGTGGAAACGATGTGTTCAGTATCGCGTACCGCCGATCTATTTTCTTATACATCAACAATTGAAATCGAGATGTTCGATGAACACTTGAAATAAGCCTTTGCAGTTGGAATTCGAGGAAGTGTGTGCGAGGAAATACCTCTTTCCGTGGTAGCGGGAATGTATAAGTGACCTTTGGATACGTAGAATATAACTTTTATATGTAGAAAATAGTCGAGTATACGTAAATCTTAAATCTATATCTCCATACGTATATCGACATCATTGCGGGCTGAAGAAATGTATAAGTCAGTAGATATAGCTGTGACTAATAATGCATATCATTTTCAGGTCGATATCTAAACTATTTCCAATAAATACTAAAAAATCTTTTACCGAACTAGCCCTCTTTCCTCGTAATATGTTTAGTGATTTGGCCCGGGTTGGCCTTATTTTAGAGATCTAAAAAAAAAACTACATGGTTAATCTTGCATGACGCGACCAAGAAATGCACATAACTTTCGTTTTCCCCCAACTGGCGGAATTATCTCACACCGGTTCCAGAAGTGGAGGTGCTCGATCGTAGATTTTGGTTTGTCTAACAGTAAGTCGTTGGGCGGCCAAACCATACTTTCGCAGCGTTAACTTCATTTCGGCCAACTTATGAGAAAACACTATTACCCCCGGGACAGTAGTAACCAGAGAAAATTAAAAATCCTCCTAACAACACATCCAACATCATTCTCGTTTTTATATTTCCTGACAGACAGACCAATGGACAATATCTTGCTATACTTATTCTTTTACTTAAACATACATTATGCAAGAGCTGAATCTGCATATTGCAGGTCTTTCTTAAGGCCTGAAATGTCATCTAAATTATTAATTAACTTATCCAGACCATAATCAACTCTCGATGTTTGCGATGGTTATTGGATTATTCATGATTTAGTCATGAATTGGATAATCGAGACTATGTTTTTTTTATTGGTTCAGTGTCGATCAATTTGACTGAAATTTTCAGCAAATTCAATTTACATTACCTAATTTATAACTATTATAGTGAGAACTGCCAGTTCTTTATCTAATCTCCCATAATGTATCTTTAAAGGAAAATGAGGGGGATCAATTTTTCTATTATTTATAATGCTATACACTCCCAAGCATACAACGCCTAAATCACGCTTAGTACATTTGCCTCTGTATAGATTTAGATAAACAAACAAAAACACCTGCGAAAATATTTAATTGCGTGATGACAGATTTGGTAGAAAAATGTATTTTAAGATGAATTGAGCGCTTTAAAAGATTTTTGGCTTGTGCGTCAAATCTTGTTCGCCAGGTTAGTTGAAATTAAAGAGTTCATCGCTATATAAGATATAGACGTTTTAAAGAAATGAAATGGGGTTTAACGTCCTACTGTTCTGCTCCAAACAGTGAGTTATAATGGAAATTTACATGCACGCCAATGTGTACCCGGGAACTAGACAGCTTTCTTGTCAGGAACTCCGTCCTGCATCACTGGAAAGGCGGAACCACGCCTGAAAATCTGGATGAACTTTCTCGGCCAATGCAGGGATCGAACATCCGACGACCAGGCTAGCGAACCAGCGTCTAACCCACTTAGCCACCGTGACCCCGTGTGTTAAAAAATTCGTCCCAAATACATAATACAACGTAATCGTCAATTATATCAGATCACTCACACAACTGCAGAATGAGTTACGTAACTGAACGGCAGGCCGGTAGGCAGCCCGGGGGAGGGGGCAAGAGGGCAATGCCCCCCGAAAATATTTTGCCCCCCTCCCCCCCAAAAAAAGTTTCCGGTCATAGCTCTAAATTACCTACTGTAGACTGTGCCCCCACCCTAAAAACGTCACTGTCCCCCGCCGAATGGTTCACCATTTGGGGGCCTCGGCGCCTCGGTGAGTAAGTTTACTATAAGGCATTCAATCTATTTCATATAGAACTTTGCAATGTTGTTTTATCCTTCGCAAGACAAGCTATTTATAAGCGCCGCATGTTTATTTTAGATGAAGAAAATTGTAGATTAAATATTATTAACTTGTTTAAAAATATTTTAAAAGAGAATTTATACAATATTAGTAATATTTTAAAGAATAATATGTCAAATTTTATTGATAAGTTCATTAAGCCGTCATTCCTTATAATATATGAAAACAATGGAAGTATTAAATTAGATTTTTGAAAAAGTTGGTATATACACTCGACTTTTACTTTGTAAATTACCCCTTTTAATTACTTTTAATGTAAACACTGTAAATATTCATGTGTACAGCTATAAACCCAACAAAAATATGTTTTAAACCTTACCTATTAACTCTGTCACATGTATAAGTATGTTTAGTATATTTTTGTTTATTCATGTATGACATGTCTGTATATATTTTAATATCTGAATAAATATATTTACAAGAAAAAAAAAAGTCGCTGGCTCACTAACAAAAAGGTCCGGAGTTCGACCCCGGTATTATCCGAGAAATTTGCCTTGAATTTGTCAAGCGTAGTTGTCGCCTGTCAGTGATGCAGGACGGCTCCGTCTGGTGAAGAATAGTGTCTAGTTGTTAAATACAGAAAGTGGAACAACGAAGTTTTCAAATTGCAGAGGGCTTATTCTATCGGGAAATTCTAGCTCGTACGATTCCAGATGTGAATATTTGGAAACATAAGTCTGAAATTTTCTAAACAGCATTAACCATAACATTACAGCAAATAATATTTATATCGAATGTTAATCCATAACTTTATTTGTTATCAAGACCAAGTTGTTCAAAGCAGTAATCTCAAATCCCACAATTATGTAAGTGGTGAGTGTTATTGTTTAAAGCAATTTTGCACTGAATTTTCATTGGGATAATTCAAGTAATCTTTTTATCACGCTGAAAGAGATTTGGTTTGGTAGATGTAAAATACATCCAACGCCGTCCATGATGTTTATAAAGTAGTCCGCTACATTAGAAATTATATGAAGATGCGCCGTGCATTTTGGGTATAGCAATTTCTGCGAAGAATTTTTTTTACAAAGATACACCCACTTTCCGCTGAAATTGGCAAATTTAATTACACCAGCCAAATATTTTGCATATATCCTGTTTTTAATGCTATGCATTGATTTTGGCCTAAACATTTATTCCATTTTCTGAAAATTACTACCGTCCAGGTAGGTATTGTTTCGTTTCATTTTATTTCGAGGTTAGCGCTGATTATCTATCATATATTTACTGACACAGCATGGTACTGACACGGCATAACATGAAATAAAACATTGTTTAAAGTAAGTTAGAGCTGGTTATTCTGCATGTTTTATGACACCACTAGAAACCGACAGGTACACAGCTTGTTAACTGTTCCACATACAAAATATATACAATATCCAGTAATGACATTAATTTCATTCCAATATAATATACACTTGTTGTAAGTACGTGTGTTTAAACATTTACAAGGTGGTAGTAATAGCTATTATTAGCCGTATTCCTTTAACTACATTAGCTATACTGTTAAAAGTTGGATTTATTCAGGCAGTGACATTGTTTAAGGAATAGGGATGCAGATTATACAGGAAACATCCCACTAATTTCTTCCGCTGTCTCGATAGTCTCCAATGTAGTTCCTTCAATCGAAAGTCTTTGGACTAGAACCAAAGAAGTTTGTTTGAATTATCATTTTCTGTCGGGTTTTGGTGAATATTCATGATAACAAAGGCGGAAGGATAAGAAAACTAAGACATTATATGTACGTCGGATAGTTAATCTTTACCAGTAGGCTACTTCAAATTTGTGTAAATTGGAGCCGGAAAAAGAGACAAGAATTAACATTAAAGATAATTGGTGACCGGCATCCATATAGTTCGTCTATAGTACCCCCCACCCCCTCTCTCTCTCTCTCTCTCTCTCTCTCTCTCTCTCTCTCTCTCTCTTTTCTCCCCTTTTGCATGCCCATTTTTGTTGATTCTTTGGTCTAGAATGGACGAAGAGGGGTTGAATTAACATTTTCTGCCAGGTTAGTTACAATTTTTTTAGTATGCTACTTCAAGGTTGTGCATCTCAAAATTTGGTGGTTATTCTCATACAAATTTTGGTGCAAAGACGTTACCATTTGATTCTCTGTCTGTATTGAAAAGCATTCAGCCCATGGGAAACGTTGAAGTCGGGCAAAGAGACGAGAGTTAACATTGATGTCAATGGGGAAATTAATGGTGGTCTGCCTGCATAACTAAATCGAGTTATTTCCCCTTGATTTGCGGTGTGTTAGTGCTAAATGATAAGGCCAGCTCAATTTTTCGTCACAGGACTAGCGCTAATCCCCAACCCTAACCCTAACCCAAGGTTTTGTGAGAATTCAACATAAAATCGAGAAACATTTTATCCAATTATCTTTAAAACTGAAAAATCGGGCAATTTGTATATTAACTTTAGAAGTAACAATTATTTCCTTTTAACATCATACCATTAGTATATTAGTTTTGGCAGTGCAATAGTTTTCAAAATCCGCAGTTACTTTTTTTTAACATTCAGCATTTTTTCTACAATTTCTAATCTAGTTTTTTTTTTAATTCCTAATTTTTGTTGTGGTTTAATTAACAAATAAATATCGGCAATGGTAGTCCTAAAGACAAATATTTTAATAGGTAATTATCAAGGTGAATAATGGTGTACACTTGACCATTGGCATTGTCTACATATCTACTCCAGCGATGTCAACAAACCTATTGTTGAAATTCAACCACCATTATCTTACAGTTCTGAACAACAACCAGTAGGATTATCTGTAGTAATATGGTCGTTGCGACATTGTTTTAAATTTATACACAAGGAATAGAGAAAGGAATAGATGGTTTAAACAACATTTTTATCTATACAAATTATTCTCTACTGTCAGTATAGTAGCTATGGTATGGGTTTATCTAAAACGCAAATTACTTGTTTATGAAAAAAATGTGAGAATAACAGGAAAGAGGTTCTAAGTTCAAGGATAGATTGTGTCAAAAAACATGTGACGGAAAATTACGATTGCATCATTTGGCTTGTTTGACCAACCAATCTCTATACTTATTTACATGATATTTGACCAATTAGATAATTGAAAGTCAAATCCTAAAGCAACAAAACGATCATATTGGTGTTCGATTGCCAGACAGCAGCTTGATTCCAGAAGGGGAAAGATGTAGTAATTTCTATCAGCAGACTCGCCCATATTGAGTCTGGCTGGCTAGGGTTTGAGAATGACTTTAGTATTGTAATATATACTGTAATTCTAGACGATCACAAGGCTACTAAGATATGTTGTAAGAAAATATGCATGGGTCGTACGTAGGATGTGGCGACCGTTTTAGTACATGCCCGCTCTTCACGCCAGACAGAAGACCCATGGTGCTACCTATCCTATATTGCCTCATGAAACATATGTTACTCTATCCCAACTATTTGAATATCCCCATATACGGGATTTCAATTATTTACTCAATAGACCAATCAGACATCTGTTAACCAAACTTGGGTTTAGAAAAAAAAACATACTTTGGTTTAGAAAAAAAAAACCCACATTCACTTAATAGCCCATTGACGAACCAAACTTTCTCTCAAATAAGAATGCAAACATTTATTTATAAATCAACCACCGAGACACATATCCTTTCCTGAGATTGTTGGATCCGAACGTATCATAAACATATAATGTAAATAATTGTTAACAATAAAGAACCAGCATATAAATCAAATTGTAGCACTAATTAGAAATTTCCTCGTTTGTGATTGGTCGAAAAGTGTGGTCGAATGGACAATAAACCCCCTCTAAATTATCAAGGCGAATTACTGCGTATAAATATAACAGTGTACTTTTTTTCATTTTTGTGCTCAATGATCTTCCTCAACTCAAATCTTTATTGGCAAATATCTTCAAGGAATTCTGCACACATGACTATCACACCATTTTCAAACATCATCTTTTTATGAAATCACATCTCTGAAATACATAAAACAGTAGAAAATCAGTCATAAATTAATTAAAACCGTTTTCAGGTATCCAAATATATTCGTAACTAGGCAGTGACAGTGTCAGTAGGCCTCTGTTTTCTTTTTTCATTTTGGTAGGCGAGCTTCACTCACCAATTTTTATTAATCAGGTGGTGGATTTTTTTAAAAAATCATGCTTTCAAAATCTGACTTACATGATCTACCTAATAATAAGTCATTAGTCACAAGGAATCGCTTGAGAATACAATGAGGGAGTCGAATTTACAGCAAAATAATTTTTACAGGTAATTGCTAATTTACAGCAAAATAAATACATTAGTGTTTAACTCAACCATATCTGATTTGCCTATATTTATATAGCCTAAAGAAAACACGGTGGCGAAGTGGGTAAGACGCTGGCTCGCTAGCCTGGAGGTCGGGTGTTCGATCCCTGCATGGGCCGAGAAAGTTCATCTAGATTTCCCGGCGTGCTTCCCTTTTGTCAGTGATGCATGACGGAGGGCCTGACAAGAACAGCTGTCTAGTCGTTCGGATGGGACTGAAAACCAAGGTCCAATGTACACATTGGCGTGCAGGTAAAAGATCCCTTGACAGTTGGAATTCGATATAAGAGTAGGCCGTAGTGCCGCTGTCCGGGCAAAATTTCCCTCATAGCACAATGTATGGCGTATGCCCGTCTTCATTAGCCCAGTTCGGAGCAGAACAGTAGGACTTTAAACCCCATTTCATTTCATTTTGATAGCCTAAAGGCGGATTGCGTCCATTATTATTATTATTTTAATTAAAGATAATCGACGCATTAGCTTCTGCTTTCATTCAGCTACCTGAGTACAATCTACAAACGAGTCTACATGAAGGTCACAGTAATACCTTCCCAAAAGCTCAATTATATAACCTATCCGACCGATTTATTTGGATACTTTTTATTCTAATCTAGCCATATCCAAGCCCATCAGCCACTTTTCCACCCTTACGGTGGGTGTTTAAAGTGCAGTTATTTTCTTTTTGTTGAATGTAATCCTAATCCAAGATGTTTTCTGCGCCTTTAAAGGGCACACACTTTCAGCCATACCAGAACTGAAAAAAATAATATTTCGTTCCAAAAAGTGGTACCGAACTGTCAAAATTGTAGTTTTTGCTAAATTTATGTCAATAAAAATGAAAATGACATTTTGGACCATGGAGCATATGAACTTTGTTTTATACAAATCGGACAATAAATAATCAATCTAGGAGCGAAAAACTGAATTAGCCAATGGCGGCGAAGCAAAATTATCTAGACAAAAATTGTTGACATTTTTGTTCAAATCAGACGGCCCCTTTAATCCTTTGAAAAATACCATCAAAAAATATTCATAAATAAAAAAGTGTTTTTGTAAAAATTTAAATTTTCAAAATTTGGCGCCTAATATTTTCGAAGATTCGTCGAAAT